TTGAGCTCTACAGGAAGACAAGGAAGTGTACATTTGTGTTTTTCTCACAACACACATTCTAATAATCATTCAAATCTTTGCTCTCTCCCTTGAATTTTGAAGTGAGCAAATGCCAGGAAGGCTTTCCCGAGATCTCTGAGCACTTAAGTAGGGAGGATGCATCCCAGAAGTTACTCTGAACCTATTTTTGTGTCCTTCAACTCCCTCAACTGCCCCTTTTCTGGCCAAAGGAAAAGCAGTGAAATTACTCTTTTAACTTCTGTAATACCAAAAAATGACAATTTTCCAAAAACAGAAGTGGACCTCTGGCCACTTCTCCTGTTGTTGCTGCTGTTGTTTTGGCAGTCCATGTGACTGCCAAAACAAAAGGTTCCAAAAATCCTTTTATTACAGTAATGGAATACTGGCAAAAATTATGGAATGAGGAAAGGTATTTTGAATAAATTGATCTTTCATGGAGTGGCTTCAGTTTGGTAATTTTTTTCCCAGGAAGAGGGTTTTTCAAGAAAAATACAGATGCCTTGAAATCCTTTAGGAGGCGCAAGCTTAAGAGGGAAGGTCACATTAGGGCTCTAAGTACAAACCACCAGGAAGGCCGTCCTGGGTAGGTAGCTCTTCTGAACTATGGACTTAACTAAAAACGATGTGTGCTTGATCCTTTAAATGTAAACTTAACTAATCCAAATATTATGCAATATGCCAAATGCAATTATGCCCATATTTCCAATCTTTTGAGTTTTGCACTGCAGCTTTTCAATAAAAATGCATTAAAAGGTATCTATACTATGGGGGAAAGTTTGCACAAAATTTAGATACATTAATAAACACCAAGTAAAAAAAATCAGTGTATTAGGGAAAACATAATTGTGAAAATACACACATGACCAGGAAACTGTACAGAGATATTTCTATTTTGTGGCGATACATACAGATTTTCATGGTGACTATACAATCTTGCAAACTGATGAAGAACAGGATGATATGAACGAAAAGATGGAAAAGCTAATAACTGAGCAAAAACACAATGACACCGTCCAGTCTTAATACTGGACTCTGATTTCATAATCATTTAGTCAATAAGAAAGGACAAAATAAATCCATGCTCTCCACATCCCTTAGGGTTAATTGTGCTGAGAAAGGACAGCACTTCCTTACATCAAACCATCTAAAGGTCTTCAAGATAAGCATCATTTTGCTTCTCCAATAATGTAAGAGTGGGCGGGAAGATGATAAAATTGAGAAGAAGATATATCTACAACCTCCAAGTGGCCTTTATGTCAGATGGAGAGATTACGGTAATTCAAGCACAGTCAGTGGGTGCAGAACAATAAAAAAATACATGAAAATGTATCTAGAAAGAAGCTAAATAGTAGGGATGTGGTTAAGTCTGAAGTTTTGCCCACACACAGCCTCCAAGTATTAATATGGCGAAAGGCAGATGTTACAATTCTGTTTTGTTTAGCTCCATAAGATAAAATGCACACTAACATTGAGTGTGCTTGATTGATACTTTAAAGATAACAATGCAGAGTTGTTTTCCCTAAAGTACCAGTGTAAACAGAATACTAAAAGTGGGGAAGTCAGTCATTTTCCAGCCTTCCCAGAATTGTTAAAATCATGGTTTGCACTTGCACTGCTCATGAAGTGTATTTCCTCTTCTTCCTTCAGTCCCCATGTATGTCTCCTCCTAGTCTGCTCGTGGGATTCAAGATCCCTCCACAGCAACCTAGGATAAATGAAGCAAAGCTTACAGAGGAGAGGAAGGGAAACTCCTGTTGGAATATTCTGTTTGCCTAACATTGGACACCATGATTGGTATACAGAAAAAGCTTGAATTACCAGGCCGTAACTTGTTCCAAACTGAATGTTGCCAGTTGCGAAAAAAAAAAAAAAAAAAAAAACGTCGCTAGGGAGTAGCTGTTGCGTCGTCGGCCCTCGCCTTGGAGGCAGTTGGAGGTTTGCTTCCAACCATGCTTTAAAACACGTGTGTCAAATCCGGTCTCCATGGGCCAAATCCAGCCAAAAAAAAAAAAAAAAAGCCCCCTTTCAAGGAAGCAGGAAATATTTGCATTCAAAACCAACCCCCCAAACAGATTGTGCCCATCCCAGCTCTGTTTAATAAAAAAGGGCTTCCAAAGGGGAGAGAGTGCCCCTCCAACATACTCTGGGCATTCAGGAAGTATTTTCACTGCTTTGAACAAAAAAACGGGCTCTCCACAGTCCGGGAAGTTCTTCCTCAATGCTTCCAAATGGAAGATGAATAAAAAGTAGACCTCTTGAAGTGTACCACTTTCTAATTAAATTATGTAAACAAAACATACAAAAACCAATTATTGTTTGCTTCCACTGAAATAGAGAGCACAAAATTTGTATAAAACTAGCGGGGTGTTCCCCCATCCGAGTTAGATTCTTAAATATACCTCTCTTAGGCCCTGAAATTCTTTTTTTATGTTTTCGGTGCTGCAAGCACATTTTTTTAACCAATTTCATTTTTTCCCCCTCCTCCATTTTTTTCTACCAGGATTAATTGTGGAAAAAAAAAATCCTTCCGCCAAATTTTGTTCTCTGTGAAGTTCCTAGGTCCAGTGTTCAAACACCAATTCAAAGGGAAATTATCTCAAGAAAAAAAAGCCTCCGGTGGCGAAAAGCAAGGGTTAAAAAACCTATCTGAAGAGCCGAAAAACTTGTTGACCAAAAAAGTTTGGGTGTTTTTAACAACGGGGGAAGTGGGGGCTAAGGCCCCCCTGTTTAGCCCCGGTCTCTTTGCCAAACCTCGCAGTCAAAAAAAAACATGCCAAAGGGGTTGGATGGAGTAGGACCAAATAGGTTTTTACGCTTTTCGGGCCAAGGATGTTAAATTTTTGCGGACACTTCATGCAGTCATGCTGGCCACATAACCTTGGAGGTGTCTACAGACAATGCCCCCAGAGCTGGACACGACTAGACTTAATGTCAAGGAAAAAACTTTACCTTTTTACCTCAGAAAGCAGGATAAATGCTACATCTCATTTTCTCCAGCAATACAGTGCTTATCAAGACTCTCTCTGCTCTCAATTGATACTTAGGAAAATTTGCTTTTTTCAGGCTACAACTCCCAAAAAGTTTCAGCCAGTCACTGAAGTGCCATTAAGGGTTAGGGAGAGAGGACATGCTCTTCAGTCACAATCCTCAAAGAGGTGCCTTTTCAGAGATTCCCCCCTCCTTTCTTCTCTGCTCCCCTCATCATAAGAAAACAATGTGAGGTTTTGAAAGGAGGAAAAAGCAAAAAACAGTGTCTATAATTCAGCATAATTCTTACTCAGCCTATTTCAATCAGCAAACATTCCTGGCACAGGAGGAGCTCCATCATCCTCACCTCTGCAAAAGTGCCTACAATATTCAAAACATATTTTATAGGCTGCCTGAAGCAGCTGTCCCTATATTTGCACATTTGCTGGTGAAGGGATGAGGCCTGTAATAAACCAAGGACACCTGAACCCTGTGTGACAGAACCTCTGACAGCATTTCCCATTGAGACCAAGGCACTGGTTGGGAGAGCAATGGGGACTGCCTTCCTGTTTTCTTTGCACACAAGTTCCTCTTTCCAGGATAACAAAAACATAAGAGGACAGTAGAAAAGGGCTGACCAATGCTTGGGACATCAATCAACTGTGACAGCCAATTTGACCCTAGACAAATATTCAAGAAGCAAAACATGGCTTTAAGATGGCTGGCTTCCTTTTTATTTCATCCTGGTGTCTTTGATTGGCAAAGTAAGGTGCAATTATTTGAACAAGTTACGTTGCTGCCATTGCTGTTGCTGGACAGATCCAGTACCGGAGGCTTGGTAGACATACTCAGTTTTAGCCTGAGTTTCTGATAATTGCTGTTTAGGGAATCATCATTTTATGAGCGGCTGATCTTTTTCTGCCCAATTACATGATTTGCTTAGACAAACCACAGTGTCAAAAGTTCCAAAAGGGAGATGGGCTAGCTTCCTTCTCTCGATTGTGAAGCGCCTCGCCTGCCACAAGAAACATGGAAGACAATGGCCCTGGACACCAGGGAATTGACACAGTTCTTTGAAAGAGGAAGCCATTTCTGAACTTGGGAGAAAAGAAGGGTTTTTTTTTTAAAGACATACCACACCTTCTCCCCCACAATCATGCTGACCAACAGTCCATATGCATTAAGCGTCTTCTCAGCTTTGTAGCTCAGCAAAGCGCCAGGTCTGCAGCACAATTAAAAAACTCAAGCAATTAGATCTGGTACCATGAGGGGACAAGATGGCAAAACTTTCCCCTCAAAGGAAAAAATAGTAAGGTTCCCCCCAAAGACATGATTATGTCAGCCCTGTCACAGTCCTGTGGGCCTGGCTGCCTGCATCCACATTGTCCTGTCTCTCCACAGCGTCATTCTCTGCTGAGTGAAGCTCTGTTAGCGATCTGGGCGCTGCACACAGAACACCTTGGCCTGGTGATCGCCGGAAGTAGTAACTACAATAGAAGCATCTCTGAAGAAAGAAAAAAAAAGAACAAAAGGAATCAGCTCATTTAAAATATTAATTTAGCCCACCTTTCCAAAGTTTTTTTAAAATATCACTATACGCAATTCACTAAAGTATCACTATCTGAAAGAACAAATAAAGGAGCAAAGCCCAAAGAGAGAAAAATCATATGAATGGCAGTAATAACCTGCCCCCTGGTGGTGCAGCAGATTAAACCACTGAGCTGCTGAACTTGCAGACTAAAAGGTCGATGGTTTGAACCCTTGGAGCAGGGTGAACCCCCCCTGTTAGGTCCAGCTTCTGCCAACCTAGCAGTTCGAAAACCTGCAAGTGTGAGTAGATCAATAAGTACCGCTTCTGCAAGAAGGTAACAGCACTCCATGCAGTCATGTTGGCCACATGATCTTGGAGGTGTCTACAGACAACGCCGCCTCTTCAGCTTAGAAATGAAGATGTGCACAAAAAAACCCCCCCCCCCCCCCCCCCCCCCCCCCCTCCCCCCGGAGTTAAGGAAAACACGGGAAAACTAACAAGCAAAATAAAAATCGAACTTTTATTCTTTTTTAAAAAAAAAAACCTTTTAACCCCCAAAAAAAAACCTGGGATTTTGAAAATGAAAAAAAAATTATATGTAATATTTTACTCTTTTTTATTAAATTAATAAATTTAAAATAAAATAAAAAACAGAGTTAAAAAAATAATAAAATAAACTGTAGCTTGAGTATAAAAAAAAAAAAAAAACAAAAGGGGGGGGGGGTTTTATAGCCCTTTAAAAAAAAAAAAAAAAAAAAAAGAAGGGGGGCTCGAAAAAAAAAAAAAAAAACTCAGCTTTATTTCACTCGAAAATACCCCACCCAAGGTTTAAACCCTCCCCATAGCCCCCAAAAAAAAACCACATTACTTCTTTTCTTGGAAAAAAACAAATTAATTCCAAGGGCACCAAAGCTTTCCAATGTGCCTCTTGTCCCTGCTATTAGTGTTTTTCATTCTCTGTTTTTTGTTTTATGTATCCCATTATTTTTGCAAAAGTTCCTCGACCCAACAGCTAATTGACAAAAAAAAAAAACCTCTGATTAATAACCCTGCGACTCACTTGTTCAAAGCGAAGTCCAGGATTTCTGCTGAGTGGCCCCGGTACTCACTGATCAACTTGCCTGAACGTGCATCCCAGAGGGACACAGCGCCATCCAGGCTGCAGGTATAAACCACAGGTGAGCTGTCCTCCCACAGGAGCTGTACAATCCCTGACTAGAGAGAGAGAGAGAGAGAGAGAGAGAATAAGCATCAGCAGATTTCAGCGTTCCCACCTTCTCAGCCAAAAGCTTGGCCCTCAATACTGAACCTGTAGATATTTGCACTGCTACTGTCTGTATTCCATGAACTGTACCAATGCTCCTAGAGTGGCAATCCACTTGGAATTGGTATTGCATGTTCCTCACATCTCTTCTAGAAGCAAGAGGCAGTGGGACATTTATTTACCAGCTCTTGAAAGCAAACCTCAACCGGATTTCTGAAGCACTATCATGGGTTTTTCAGTCTCTGCTACTTATGACTAGCTTGAACACAGATTTAGAGCTCTTGCCTGGAGCAGAGTTGGAATACAAGTACTGTATTCACAATTATAACTAGTTTCCTTCTCTCATTAGATCCCGAGCAACACACAATTCCTCCTCTCTTGGGTTGAAATGGGTGTTCAAAGAGGCTCATGCCAACCTATTTCTCCAGTTCCCTTAGTGACCTCTTCTCCTTTACCTCATGCTGGCACTTGTGTCTTAAGGTCTGTGTAACAAGGTCATAAATGGCCAAGGTCCCATCTAAATAGCCAACAGCTGCCAGTGGCATCCTGCAACAGCAAGGAGGGAGAAAGGGTTCTCTTGTAAGTTGCTTTACACAACTCTGTGCCCATGCAGTCAAGCACACCACCAGCCTATCGCACACTTCTCCAATACTCACACATTGCAGAAACCCAGCGACTCCACTGAGTTGGATTCAGCTTCCTCAGTCTCTCCTGATGAGGTCTTGGGGACAATGCTCTCTGCCTTGAAGACAGACACAACCTGCAAGAGAGATGGGCCATGATGGATATCCCCCATGTTCAACATGCAAAGCACAGTCTCTGATGCACACTAGTTAAGAAAACATCAGGAAACCTGGAAGGCAACCCATTAGTCATGATCTGCTTTCAATCAGCTTAGCAAGTGAGAAGTTTTTTTTGCTACTAAGACTCAATGTTTTAGCGGCAAAAGAAGGTGGAGGAACTCACCTTGCCGGTTGCAGAGTTCACCAGTTTGGCATGGCAATCAACAGAACCTGTCAGGATTAGGCTGCCATCCTTATTGCTGGCCACACACGTCAAAGGGCCCTGATGTCCATCCTGACCTAAAGATCAAAAAAGGCACAAAGAGGATTGAAGTAAGTGCACAGCTTTCCCCCTCCGCTTTTTGTCTCTTTCCCAGTGATTTCAGCCACACCATCCTGCAATTCCAATACCATGACCAAAAATATGTGTGGGCTAAAATGACCCCAGAGCACGCATGCAATGTGATTTCATGCAAAATATAGACCTGTAATACTACCCCAAAAACCTGATGATAGAGAAAGATCTGTTAATGTCCCTGAAACAGACTTTCTGTTGGGCAGTGCCTCTCAGTTACAAACAAGGATGCCAATACGCCAAGGCATACAAAGATGAAATCCTTCACAGGTTGTCCAATTTTTAATTAGCCAGTCTGAAAAGTGCTTTGGGATTCTGCATGTTCCATAGAAGCCATTCATATTCCATGAACAAACTTCCCACCTCTAGAAGGCATCCAAGGTAAGTATTATGAAATACACCCCTATCCAATGAGATGTACAAGTGTCACTCCTGCTTCCTGGCAGTATATAAAAACAGGCAAATGGAAACAGGGATTGCAAAGCTTACTAAAATGTATGATATTATTCATGAACAGGAAGTACTGGATAAGACGGTCTTGAGGATCCCTTGCAACTCTGACTTTTATGAAAAGAACAAAACATGTGGGTACCTTTAAGGACATGTAGTGGGCTTCCCTGCTTCAGATCCCAGATGCGGACTGTCCCATCTTCATAGCCGACCACAGCTCTCTTTCCTGCATTGAGAAGCTTTATGTTGGTCAACTTTCATCAAGCAAATGTTCAGCATTCCCAACTTGTAATACAGGGTTAGTCAAAATGAATAGGCCAATAAGAAAATTAATTTTAGACGAATGTATGTTTATTGTAACCAAACTATACAGGGCTTTAAGTAAGGCGACAGGATAAAACTATTTCAAAGTTTTTGGGTCTCACCTTTCAGAAGGGATGTTTCGATTAATGGGGCGCCCCGTGTGGAACCGGGCCAGAATGGGTCCCAAGCGATATGTTCCCAGTTCATTCCACATCGTTGCAGCAACAAATTCCGGTTTACGGTTAAATGGGCAATGAACTGCCAAAGCAAAAACGGTTTCTGGGGAAGGGTTGGTCGTTTGAAGGTCCTAAACCACTAAACCCTAAAAAACCCTAATAACCTAAAAAAAACCCTCAATCCCCTATCCCTATCCCTTCCCTTATTCCCTATCCCTAATCCTAATACTATCCTGAAAACCCTAAAAACCTAAAACCATAAAAACCTTGAAAAACGCTTTGGGGACCGTAAATACCTGGAAACAAATTGTTTTTAGCCAAATGTTTTCATCACACCAAAAAAAACCTGTGGCCTCTCACTTTGCTTGGATTTCCGGCCATTTTGGGAAAAAAAAAAAAAAAAAAAAAAAAACCGGCCCCTTGGGGACCCCAGCGGGACGGCCAGGTTGCATTGTTAACGTAAAACATTGTTTTGTGTTTGCTCAAAAACAAAAAAAAAACAAAACTTTGGAATAGTTTAAAATCTTGTTGGGGAGTTATGTGTTTTGGTTACAGTTAAAAAAAAAACATTACATTTTCGTATAAAAAAAAAAAATTTCACATTTTTTTAATTGGGGGGCCTATTTCCCATTTTGGACTTAACCCTGGTAATGTAAAAAACGCCGTTAAGTAAATGGATTGGGCCCTGGGGCATAAATTTGTTTGGTTCCAACACGATTCCCAATCACAAACTAGCCTATCCCCATTAAAAAAAAACTAGGTTGGAAGGGATTAAATAGTGGTTATCTATATACAAAAAAAACATTTAACAAATGGCCCTCCAGGAAAAACAGTTAAACAAAAAACCCCAGTATTTCTCAAGCAAAAAATTTGTTTTGCACCCCCCTAAGGGGTATTTAAAAATGCAATTGGATTATTATAATCTGGGGATAAAATAAAAAATGTTTTTACAAGCATCTTTTTTCCCCACTCCTGTTAAGGCGCTCTCAACAAGTATAAAATTCCCAACAAAAAATTCTAAATTTCTGGTGCTCACACAGGGAAAAAGGGGGGGACACGTCCCAACAGGTAGCAAGGGGGCAGTTTTTGAACACTTGGAAACGTCTTTTGCATTCCCACTGTGATTCCTCCAAACCAGGACGGGTTGCCAAATTTTCGCTGTTCCAGCCAGGAAGGGGGTGGGGGGAAACATGGATGGGGGTCGGGGACCACTCCCATTCCACTTAGGAGGGGCATGTGAGAAAGGAACAAAACAAAAAGGGGAAAGGAGAGACGAAGGAGAGCTTTTCATTAAAGAAAGAGCGGAAAAAAAAAAAAAGAAAAAAACCGGGGGCTTATTGGCTAAAACCATTTGCAAAATTTGAAATCCTTGTTCATAACCATCCCTTTCCTTTTTAAGTGTCATTCTGGAAATTTCAAAGTCTTTGCGAAAAACTCTAATTTTTTTATCTTAGTAAAAAAAACAAACAAAAACTTCAAATCTTCTACTGGAACAAAAAAACACAATTTTAATGGGGCAAAATTGTAACGTTGTATGACACAAAAGGCCTTCCTCTGGGTCTTCATCAAAAGTTCCACCAAACCCCACCCCCCCTTCGAACAAAGGGGAACCAGATCTCCTCTGTGTGTCCACCGCCAAGACTTTTTGATCCCAAAATTCAAAACTTTCATTGTTCAACTTTTGGGCCACAAAAGTTTTGAGGTCATGGCTAAACCCAAGTTAACACTGTTGGGACAGGAGGTCCCTTGGTGGACTAGGGGAGGAGGAAAAAAAAAAAAAAAACAACAAAGTCATGGCCAGACCCCTCAAAGTGTTGGGGGGCCAGATTATAAATTTAAAAAAGGGGGGGCAATTCCACAAAGGAAACAAGCTAACACGGGAAATCCCAAAAAAATTCGAAGGGGGAACCATAAAATTATTTCAGTCTTTCCCAAAAAAATGTTACAACTTTGAGTTAATACCTCACTCGTAGTTGGTGAAAGTCATCTTACATGTGGGGGTCCATTCCAATTTTCTCTCATCTTTGATGGCAAAAAACTAAAAAAAAGGGAAAAAAACAAACAACAATGGTTTGTGTGTCTAGAAACATTCCATTCACAAACAATAGTTAAAGATAGCTGTGTTTATTCCAAATAGTTTTTTTTTTCCCTGTTACTTAAATTAAAAAAAAAAACATTTTTCCTTCTCTTTCACTTTTTATATTTTTAAGATGGTATATAAATTAAGTTCTTCACATTTCTTTCATTTTGATTCTTATGTTTTTGTTTTCCAAGAGCATTCAGGATCTTTCGGATTCCAAAAAAAAAAAAAAAAGGGCCCCCCAAAAAACATTTGCCTCAGGTTTAAAAATTAAACAAAAATTATTTGGACATTAAATAATCCCCCAGAAATAACCCCACCAACATATAACATGAACATCGGAACATAGATTAAATAAAAAAAAACGGTATTTCCTTGTGGAAAAAAAAATTATTATTTTTTGACAAAAAAAAACCTTAACATTTTAAAAAATAACTTACAAGGTCAATGCATTAAATGCATGCATCCCACAATTTAAAAACCCAAGTTGTAATTAGAGAAAAAAACAAACAATAAAAAAAAAAAATTTGTTCTATAAAAAAGTTATCTCTTTTTTGCCAGAACCCACAAAAAAACTAACCCAGGGATATTCTGCCAGGCAAGTTCATTAGTGGGGAAGTTGCCCCAAGTTTTGAGGGTGGGCTCCACCTGGAAACTTGCATCAAAAAGGGGAAGGTTTCTCAATTCACTTGAGGGGCGCACCCACAAAGGGGGGGGGGGCCCTTTGTCGTCTCACCAAACCCGGTCCAAACTGGCCAGGCGTGTTTGGGCTGGGATGGAGGGGGGGGGGCTGGACACCAGACCAAAAAACAAGAAAGCCAAAGGGAGACAACAAATGAGAAGTGACAAGGAAAAAATGGAAAGATGGCCACAAAGGAAAAGGCAAAACTTATAATACGACGAAGACGAAAAAAACTAAAAAAATGGCCCTGGGGACATAAATTTATAATTTACTGTATAAACTTACAAATTTGCCCTTTTCTTCTAAACCCCTTGGGGGCGGGAACCTAAGGTAGTTTTAACACCAAAAAAACATTTAACCTAATGGGCGAAACAAACACCCAATCCAATGGCAAACATTAACATTACAATTACAAGACCATCTTAAATGACAACAGAAATAACACCTGGGATAAAAAAAAAAAAAACCCCCCCATTATCTGTTAATCTCAAAACAACGCCCTTGGTGACTTAAAGCCCAAGAACAGAAATCAGTAAAATGCCACGAAGGCTTCAAAAAACCAAGGGGAAAACCACCCACAAAACGATAGGTGAACAAAAAAAAAAAAAAACATAGGTGTCCTTGCATTGGAATAGACTACGGCCAAAAAAAAAAGCACCTCAAGGAAAAAAAAAAAAGAGGGGAGTAGTTATATATGTGGAGGAAAACCCCACAGTCCCTTGCTTGGTTCATGTTAAAAAAAAAACAAGGAAGCCAATTATCTCACTCTGTCCCACGAAATTACAAGGGGGGGAAATAAAAGTTTTTTTGAAAAAAAAAACATTAACGGGGAAAACTCCCTTCCAATATTCCAGGGCCAAATAGTGTGGGGGGGGGGGGGAATGGCAGGGGGAGCTGTTTTTCTACTGCTCAAACAGAAATATTTCAAAACCACAAGGCAATTCTTGCAGCTCATGTGCCCCACACAACACAACTTATTTCAGTGCATTAGGAGGTGCACTCCCAACTGCACTTCTGCCTTCCAACTAAACACAACATAGAGTCCCTTGCAGTTTCCACTTAGGATGGAAAGGAAAGTTCCAGAGAGAGCAGCTAATGAAGTAGGAAATCTGTTCTGGCTCCCTTACTAGCTCACCGGTATGTTTTGAGAAGGTGACCTCACTGTCATCTTGGGCCTCCATGCCCTCCTCCACTCCCTCATCTTCCTCCTCGGTCACCCATGCGCCCTGCTCTTCGTCAAGATCCACATCTTCCATCTCATCAGCCAGATCATCTGCCAGAAAGTAGAGAAGAGGGACATAGATTTTTGAAACAACTCAGTGTCAAGTTTTTCTCACTGCAATGTAACTGCTTTCTCCCCCACCCACCACCCCAAACACACATACACTGAGAGTCTTAGGGAAGAGGAGGGTACCACTCAAAAGTCCACATCAGTCCGAAACCAGGGGTCAAGAATTCATACCTGCTAACTTATTACTTATTTACCCT